AATGGAGGGGCAGGTCCATCAGTGGCGATTAGCCATGGAGACTAAAGGGAACCTCCATGTTCAGAAGCAGTTAATTTCTGAATACTAGTGTCAGGAGGAAAGCCTTGGCCTCTGTGCCCTGTTGTTGGCCCTCCAGAGGAACTTGTTGGCCACTGTGTGAGACAGGATGCTGGACTAGATGGACCCTCACTGATCTGACTCAGACAGCAGGGCTCTTCTGATGTTCTTCTCAGGGGAAGGCTTTGGTCTCTGTGCCCGGTTGTTGGCCCTCCAGAGGAACTGGTTGGCCACTGTGTGAGACAGGATGCTGGACTAGATGGGCTATTGGTCTGATCCAGCAGGGCTCTTCTGAGGTTCTTCTCGGGGGAAGGCCTTGGCCTCTCTGCCCTGTTGTTGGCCCTCCAGAGGTACTGGTTGGCCACTGTGTGAGGCAGGATGCTGGACCAGATGGACCCTCACTGGTCTGACCCAGCAGGGCTCTTCTGATGTTCTTCTCAGGGAAAGGCCTTGGCCTCTGTGCCCTGTTGTTGGCCCTCCAGAGGAACTGGTTGGCCACTGTGTGAGACAGGATGCTGGACTAGATGGACCCTCACTGGTCTGACCCAGCAGGGCTCTTCTGATGTTCTTACATCAGCCCCTTGTTATTTTTCTTGACCTCACTTTGCATTCTAGTGGCTATAAAAGCAAACTTTAAATCTGGAAGTCACTGGTTCGAGTCTCAGCGGTACCACAAATATATTAGATGGCCATGGGAAGCTTCTACCTCTCTCTCTCAGCCCTCCCCCCCCCATCTGCAAGATGAAGATAATAATAACAGCCTTCCTTATAGGATTGTTGTATGGGTTACAACATGATGTGGCAGTCCTGGAAGTATGTTCAGTTAACATAAATGAGTTAACTGAACAGCCTCCAAGGGTTTGGAATCATGCCCAGATGCTCCCCCCCCATCTGCAAGATGAAGATAATAATAACAGCCTTCCTTATAGGATTGTTGTATGGGTTACAACATGATGTGGCAGTCCTGGAAGTATGTTCAATTAATATAAATGAGTTAACTGAACAGCCTCCAAGGGTTTGGAATCATGCCCAGATGCTAGATTACAAGACAGCCAAGGGGGGGAAGACACCAACTCAGCTTAGAGGGAACTCTGGTTGACACCCTAGGGGGTACAGTCGGCCAACCCTGACTATGGCCCTGTTTCTGGAAGATATACCCACCATCTACCCCTTTGCTCTAATCTTCTCAGGCTGCTTGGTTAAGCCATTTGGGATAGCAGAGAGCAATGGGATATGCTCGTTTGCGGCTGAGATATATGCATATAAAAGTTTAAGAGGAGAGAAACCTTTGCCCAGGTATCTCGCGCTTTGTATCTCCGGTACCGAATCCACCTCCTGCGTCGAACACAGGAATTCCACTTCTTGTCTTTCATGTAGGTGGCCGGGAAGTCGATGGCGTACGTCCAGCCCTGGAGAGGAAAGAGGCCCAGAAAATAAAAGGTTCCTTTCTCTAAAGATTCGAGAGAACGTGTTGCAAAGCTCAGAATCCTTACGGGCACACACTGTAACCCCTGGCGTAATGCAAAAGTTACAAGCCAGAACAGCGGGGCTTTTGATCCGTAGATCTGCAGATGCTGTTATTTGGCCCATAAAAGAAACCCCGCAAGACATGTTGTTAGCCTCTGTGGGGTTTCTGCAATACATCATTTTCATAAGAATGTAAGAGAAGCCAATGTTGGATCAGGTCAATGGCCGATCCAGTCCAACATTCTGTGTCACACAGCAGCCAAAACCCAGGGGCCATCAGGAGGTCCACCAATGAGGCCAGAACTCCAGAAGCCCTCCCACTATTGCCTCCCAAGCACCAAGAAGACAGGGCATCACCCCAGACAGAGTGTTCCCTCTATACCTTGTGGCTAATAGACACTGAGGGACCTCTGCTCCATATGTTTATCCAATCCCCCTTTGAAGCTGTCTGTGCTTGTAGCCACCACAACTTCCTGCAGCAGTGAATTCCATGTGTCCATTACCCTTTCCCAAATGTCAACAACCACACTTTGTGTTCACCTTGGAGCAGGGAAGAAAGTAACAGAACTTTTCTTACTGGTGCTGAGGGGCTCAAGCAGAAGGCATCTCTGTGGTCACTTCCTTACTGGGACCCTGTTCCCACCCTGTAGGTAAGCTGACTCCCTGTCCATCAGGACGGGTCATTTCAACCACCAATGGGCAATTAGGGGTACCCCAGGAGTACATATACCAGGCAACTTGACGTAAGTGAACAAAGATGGAAGCCAGGCTTGGCAGGCAATAATATCATGCCTAGGATATGACCCTGGAAAAATCACATGAGATCTTGCCTTGACAGCTGCGACTAACCACCACTACCCCGCCAACATCTGCATACTCCGGACCAGTGGTCCCTCTAAGCTGTGGAGTCTTGTGAGCAAAACTTCTACTTTGTGAGCTACTGGCATGAAAGTCGTGAGCGAGCAATTTGGCTGCTGCATAAATTAGTTTGCTCCGGAGCCATCCTTCCTGAGCTGTTTGTTGGCCATCCAGAGGTGTGAGCAGGAGGCTAAAAAAACTGTGAATTAGCTCACACTAACTCATCTTAGAGGGAACACTGCTCCGGACAATGGACCTGCCTTGCCCCTGAGTAACTTCTTTCCATCTCAAGCGCTAATCTTATCAATCTGATCTCATCTTTCCCACACGCATTTCCTTGACTAATACCCCTTTCCCACACCCCAAGTCCAGGTGGTTTATCAAGCAGTATCGTTTCCATGTTGATTAGTTTAAAATTAGCAATCCAATTAGTCTTCCAACCCCCAGAAAATTAATCAGGAACCAACCCAAAAATCTACTTTACATGAAGAAGGAACCTCCGATCTCCTTTGTCCAGACTTGGGAACTCGGGACCACATTTTCAAAGCTACATTGTCTTACCCCTGAGTAATCCCATCATAGACCTGAGTAATCTCATCAATTCTTTGTTCTGAGGGATCCCTCGCATTAGTAAGCCCTCTGGGCACATTTTGGCTATAACTAGCCCAGCACAACTCCAGTATGTTGTTTGTGTTGTCTCAGGCGCCTACCAACACGTGTCCCCAGTATACTGGGTCCTTTTATCTCAGTGAAACGCTGGTTGTTTTGCTGTCTGTCTTTCTTTACAGATGTCTCCAGGAAAGGTAGCTATTGCCTCAACCCCCAGCTATTACCCCGCTTCTTTCTTTACTTCCATAGATCTTGTATGTGTGCATGTTTCATATGTGTTGCTTGTGTTTTATAATCACTAAATATCCTTTAATAAAACACAATTTTCCCCTTGGACTGGTTATTAAGAGTTCTCATAAAGGGAAAAATCTCCGTAAACATTGGTAGCAAGATCTCCGTTATTCCCCCACCACTCTTTGAGGCCTACCATTTGACTAATTTCCCCCAGAAACTGAAGTCAGCTATTCAGCTTCTTAATTCAAGTCTGTTTAGGGGTAACAACTCGGACCTCCTTACTTTGACCCCTACCTGGGAGTCCAGCCACTTTGACCTGGCACTTTTATCCACCTAATCTCAAGAGGTGTGTGTGTGTGTGGGGGGGGAAGCAGGGGGATACTTAATAGTGAACTGGGGCAAACAAGAAGTGTGAAATGGCCTGGGGAAAAGGGTCTCACCCCAGCCCCACCCTGGGCCTGCCATGCCTAAAAGAGGGAGAAGCCACCTGCCTGCCAGGCGGGCCAGGCAAGGTTTGGTTGGGAGATCGGCTTCCCCACCATCATCACCATGCCTTCTCTCTCTCTCTTTCCTTCCCCAGCTCCCACCCCTCCCCAGCAGCAGAGAGGTTGGGAAAGGAAAAGAAAGCGGCCCTGCTGCTTCTGGTCAGTTTCACTCCCTCAAGGAACAGCAGTTAGGTTTAACAGAGGTTTAACAGAGGAAGTTAGGTTTAACAGAGGAAAGGAGGGGAATGAAACTTACCAGAAGCTGCAGGGCAGCTTTCCTTCCCTTCCCCAGGGACTGGTGGGGAGGCTAGGAGTGAAACTGACCAGAAGCTGCAGGGCGGCTTCCCTTTCTTTCCCCAGCCTCTGCTGTGGGGCTAGGCGCACTGGGGGTGGGGGGCCAATGCTCCCTCTAAGCTGTGGAGTCTTGTGAGCAAAAATTCCACTTTGTGAGCGACAGGCATTAAAGTTGTGAGCGAGCGATTGGGCTGCTGCATAAATTAGTTTGCTCTGGAGCCACATCCTCCCTGAGGTAGGACAAAAATGTGCGAGGCGGAGGCTAAGAAACTGTGAGCTAGCTCACACTGACTCAGCTTAGAGGGAACACTGGTGGGGGTGTCTGGCATCATCAGGCGGTGGGGCAGGGCTCCTGGGTGGTGGGGCTCCGCCCCCAAATGCCCCACTGCGGCTACGGCCTGTTTTCCAATCTGCTAAACCATGACAGCAGTTGAAGCAGTGGCTGCATAGAACTGGGTCCGGCACCCCACGCTAGTCTTACCGTACGTTTACTGGGGAGGAAGTCCCACTGAAATCAGCGGATCTCATTCCCTCTCTGACTCAAACGACATGTCTTGTAAATGAATGCATGATCCATTTTGGATAGGAAAAGTCCATGCATGCAGCAATTCAATAGTAGTAGCAGTAGTAGTAACAATAATGTAGAAGTAGTAGTAGCAGTAATAGTAAAGATTAAAATAATAATAGTAATAATAATAATAGTGTGCTGTTAAGCTGTGACTGACTCATGGCAAGTCCTCGTGGGGGTTTCGTGGCAAGGGCAGTGTTCCCTCTAAGCTGAGTTGGTGTGAGCTACCTCACAGTTTTTTTAGCCTCCGGCTCACACATTTTTGTCCTCGCTCAGGAAGGAGGGCTCCAGAGCAAACCAATCCAGGCAGGAGCCAAATCACTCGCTCACCACTTCAGTGTCCGTAGCTCACAAAGCAGAATTTTTGCTCACAAGACTCCACGGCTTAAAGGGAGCCTTGGGCAAGAGATGTCCCCAGGGTGCTTGCCCTTGCCTTCCTCTAGGCAGGAGCCCTGGACTTCCTTGGTGGACTCCCGTCCAAGAACTAGCACTAACCAGGGCTGACCTCACTTCGCTTCCGAGTGTTCACGAGTTCAAGCTAGCCTGGGCCACCCAGGTCAGGGTGACGAGAGACTGGGGGTGGGAAATGCAGTCAAGTCGCAGC